TTGTGTGTGGCCAGCTCAGCCCACCAGGGGGCAGGCGGGCTGGCATGTGGTGCTGGGGGATTGAACCGCGGTCCCTGTGCTTTGCTTGGCTTAGCTTGTTCTAAGTAGGTGCTTTAGACCACTGAGCCATCTCACCAGCCCAATTTGTTTTTATTTTATCTTTTTCTTACGAACTTTTCTTTTGAAGATTTTTTTCTATTCTTACACTTCCAACACACCACCAAAAATCTATGTTTAGCCTTGATTTTCCTCTGAAGATCAGAACCACAGTTCCCAAAATCAAGTCCACTGGTTTCCACTTAGATGCACTGGTGCCACCCCAGATCAGGACATCCTGAGGTACCCACACCTGAAAACAGCTCATCTTGCTGACATCCAAACTGTTACCACCACCATCTCCCCAGTCGCAGGATCAAAATATTAAAGTCACATCTCATTCTGGGGCTTTCCCAACCTTTTTGGTGGGTCTTCCATCTTCCTTGCATCTTAGTGTCTATGGGTAGCACTTGGTCATTGTGTGTGTGTGTGTGTGTGTGTGTGTGTGTGTGTGTGTGTGTAAAACCAAGGATTGAACTCAGACCCTTGTGCTTGTCAGGGATGCACTTATTCCACTGAGCCATCTTCCTGGCCCTATGGGTAGCCCTTGGGATAGGCCCTCATCATCTGCTCCCACACAAGCAGAGAAAACACTTCTCCCCTCTCCCTCCCCACTCTAGCCCCATCTGGAATGAGCTCTCCCTTGTCTTTTCAAGTCTTACCTATCCTTCCAGGCCCAGATCAAACTCTGGGCACCAAAGTGCACACAATCTGGCCTGCAGCTGTACTCCCTGTGTATGTATACTATATGTTTGAACCCTCTAGCTTCTATATGTGTGTCTATATGTTACACACACACACACACACACACACACACACACAATTTGCCATTGGTCACACACTGCCTTTTACTGTTATTTTGATCACATGTGTATAGTTACTTTATCTCTTCAGCTAGACAATAAATTTCTACCTTGCAGCAACTAGCTCAGAGCCTTTCACATAGTAAGTTTACTAGCCACTGAATGAATGTAAGTGAGCATCAATTGTATTAGAAAAGCTTGGGCTATTTCTGATCGTGAATGATAATGAAAAACTATTGTAAATGACTATTTTTTTTTTTTAACAGTGAACCATGCATCAATTTATTGGCATCATTAATTTATTAAGATAGGTACTTTTTCCCCTCATAAAGTGACATGGATTATAATCTGCCTTACCACGTGCCCACACATCTTCAGGGTGAAAATGGAGCATTTCACGCTCTAGCCAGGGCTGGTTATTCTTTTCTCACTTTCACAATTTTGATGCTGCTGCCAGCAGTCTTCTCTGCATTTGCTCTGAATTCCGTCTTCAGGGCATCCCTCACTGCCTTTGCACAGATCTGGGAGTAGCGAATGTAGCTGAGTCCAGCCTGTCGCCAGTAGGCCACCATGATGGCGCGAGAGGGGTCGTGTGTCGGACCGAATCGCTAAGAAAACGGCAAAGTCGG